GTTGTGCAAGCAGTGAGAATAAATGACGAAACAAATGAGTAAATTAGTTAACAAAACCTGAACGCCCAGCGTTATGTTCACTGTACCTCAACGTCGCGGCTTTATGGGCTAATCAAATCACTGAAGCAAGCAGACAACAAACACTATAAGACTGAGACTCAATCTGAGTCTGAGCCTGAGCCCCAGTCGAAAGGAAATGGAATGGAATGGAGTTCGTAGCTCCGGTGTTATGGCCGCGATTTAACAATCCGCACACATCGCCGCCGAAAAGAAACCAGTTTTATAGAATTCACAAAAAAACGTAAGTGCACAAAGGAGCAAAACAAACAGAAAGAAGAAGAGATATACTTACAGACATATATATATATTTCGAGACAAAGAAGAAGTCTCTCACTCTAACCAAAGAGATCTGGCTTTGGCTTTATGTGCAGAAAAGCGAAGGCCGTTCAAAGACTCTTTATTTCTTCGCCGAGCTTTGAAAATCAACTCTCGAGTGTAGTAGACAGTGGTCATTTGAATGAATGGCTGACAGACGGACAGATTGACGGAAAATGCGAAAACAAAAACAATGACTGATGCGGAAGCCTTGAGTTGAAGAGATTTAATACAGTGAAGCCATGCTAGCTTGAACTTGACATTCGCCATCATTGCGTTTCAGTTGTAGAACAATGAAAATAAGGAAGGACAATTTGCCTTTAAGTTTAACCACTTACATGTATATGTTTGATACTTAAACTAAAACTAAAAATTCTAAATATAAATGAAGATTTGTACTCAATGCAAATGAAATAATTATCAAGTTGTTTGCTTTGTCTTTAGGGAAGTGAGACAGTAATAAAGAAAATATATACACTTTCAACTGCCATATTGTGCTATTGAACTTTGCCGTTGGCGCTTGAACTTTGCCAGTGAAACGGAGAAGAGTATTCATTCGCAATAAGACGAGCTAAGATGAGAACAGATGAGAAGGCTATAACTGATGCTGAGTCAGAGCCAAGATGAGTTGAGTTGATGACTTGATTCTGGGCGGTGGCGCGGGCGTTGATATTGAACACAAGAGAAGAGCATCATGTGTGCATCGTTGATTTTATTGATTTATGCATTACAAGTTCGCTTCTCTTCTTCTCGTTTTCTTCAGTTACAAGAAGAACGAGCCAATGAACTGGAGACCAAGACAGGAGACAAAGAACAGGGCGAGGCATCACCATCATCGCCATCGCCATCATCATCATCGGGAGCAAGGAAGCGGACAAAAGAAAAGGCTGGGCCAAAAAAGTTTCGCTTTTCATTTTGTCTGGCTAACGGTTTCTGTGTGTGGGAGGGGAGTGAGTTTAACGGTCGCCATGGTTGCCAGATGTGGTGAATATGCGCGCGCCACAGGCATTGGGAAAATAAAGGAAAAACCCATGGAAAATCCAACAGCAGCAACAACGACCACATCGGAGGATTTAAATTTCCTGACGACGAGAGGAGCTTTTCACTTATTCTCCTTATTCCATTTTTATTCGGCCACACAACTTTAATTTGTGGGCGGGGTGGCGGCGTGTTGGCGGGGTGGCGAACAGTAAAGCCAATCGAGCGCCTAAATCGATTCCCACACACAAAAAACCTGTACAGCAAATTGGAGAAAATTGAAATCAAAGGAAAAACAAACGGGCAAGAAAATAGATAACACAATATTGGGGAGGCAAAAGAAAGGTTAGATGGGCGACGTTGCAATGGGAAAATCGATGTTGGATGGAAAGAAAATGTTTAGCTCTTGACCACAAGGTGAGCCAGTTGTTGTTGGTGGCTTTTATCTCTTCTTTGCGGCTCGATTCAACGTATTATATTATTTCTTGTTTATTCGTTTTTGTGGTTTCCTCATAAGTACACATACAAAAGTACTACATGTACCAGGAAATTAAAATTGCATTAAAGTCGACCAGTTGGTAACAATCAAGGCCCCATTTCGTTGACATGGACTTGTGTTCAAGGACTCGAAGTCACATTGATAGTTTGCAAAAAATAGCGGCTGTATAAAATACAGATAATTTATTATTTGACCTAAATATACTGGCTGTATTTGTTTTTCAGCTATTTCCGTTTTGCTTTTCTGTCAGACAATAAACAAAACATATACAAATTTATTTATGTATACCAGCGATCTCTCTTTCACATTAGATAAAAAAAAATTCTGGGAATAAAGTACATGTGTAGAAATTGATTGATTAAGAAAAGAAATTTATGCAGACACCAAATTAATTTACATTGATATCTATGCCCGCATTTCAACGCGGTAATTGTGCTCCCAAAAAACCCGATATATGTGCATACTAAATGCCCATTTACAATGGGATTTAATCAAGATCGAAATCGAAGCAGTACAGTCTGTCCCCAAAACAAACAGCTGCGGTCATTAAATTAGTATCGCTTATTTGAAGAAAAAAAAAACAGTCTGTAAACTTTTTTGTCCGTATGTATAATGTATTATAAATGATATATATAAGATAAAAATGTATTTAAACAATTTAAAAACTGTATGCCCTATTAGCATTTTGATCACAACTGTTATTCTGAAGGGAACGACAACAAAAAATTGCATAACTTAAAACGAGAAAAAAAACTAGAGAAAACAACGACAGCCAACAAAAAGAAGATCAAGTATAGGGGATTAGAGTGCTAAAAATAGCGCTATGCACAAAACATTTCGAAAACGGCAACCAAAGATAATGAAAGACCCCAAATGTACGAGCCGATTCCAAGTTTTTCGATCGTCTGGCAGATCGTATGGCCAGTGGGTATGGTAGTGGGTGGATGGCTGTATGGTTGGCATCGGGTGTTTTGGGCGGTGTACGGGTGCACGGGTGTGCGGCATCCATTTACACGCGACCTATAAACAAAAAACAAACTGAAATTGAGGCCGCGGCCATTCACGCGTCCGACGTCTCGCTTGCTTATCAATTTTTACTTGTTTCGTATAAAACCATTTAGCCAGAAATTCACAAAAAGTGGAGGAAGAATAAAACGACGAGGGAAATAAAAGGCGTTACGTCTAAGGGAGGGCGGGTTTCTTATAAGATAAATACGTGTGTATGTAATTTGTTTGTTTTTATGTATATTAACTCAATTTGAATCGTGCCACCATCAAAACAAATTGTTGTTTTTCAAACGACTAAAAACTTGTTTGAACGAACGCTGCTTTTTTGCTGTTTTCTGTTTTCGCGAGAACATACATATTTATATAATTTTAGATATTAGCGACAACGACACGTGTTGTTGTTGCTCAACTTGCCAAGAATTTGAAGTGATTTTCGCCAACAAGGGGATTAGTCACTCGGGATCGGGAAAGTTCTCAAACAATCGTGACAAACCATATCGTTCCATGAATCACATAAGCAAATTTCAATCTATGAACTTAAATCACACAACAAATCAATAAAAAAAAAACTCACTTCAAGAACAATTTGAATTTTGAAGTTTAATTCTGTTTAATTTTAAATTCTGTGTAGAAAAACCACATTTCTATGATGCCAAATTTAGAGATATCCACCTTGAAAAGAGACCAGCTCAAATTTGTTCAAGTGTTTCCTATTCTATATCATCCGACTATTTGACGCGCTCTTTCTGATTCTCTAAAAAACATGTTTGTTTACCGAACCAATCACAAATAATTAGCGCTTGATTCGTTTCCCATCTTTTTTCACTGTTATCTCGACGAAAATTCGACTGAAAGTGGCGAAATACACGACAGAAATTTCAAGAAAGTCATTTCATTTCGTTTAATTCCGGCACTAAAAGTACTTGATAGTGGGCAATCAAAATGTGCATATGCCAGAAAACGTGCCTCTAGGTGATATAGACAAAAAAAAAACGAGATAGGGCTTTATGTAAAGCGTCAGACCAGAAAAATACGACACGTGTGGGATGAATGCAAAGGAAAAAAACTTATACTGAAAAAAAATAAAACAAACACACGAGCAAATATGTACTTTTTTATAATTGTTACAAGGTGAGCTGGAGTTGGCGAAAAGGAAAAACAGCAAAAGGCAAATGAGTCACCAAGAAAAATTGGAAAAACAAAGTCAGCTGGACGACTATATCCAACAACCAGGGTTGCCATCGCACCCAGAAACCCCTATGCACTCGCTGATAAGAACCCGTAATCCGTAGATAATTCGAACTAGCTATAATATTCGCTTGCCATACATATATGCGGGTCTATGAGTCATACGAAAAAGTGAGTGAGCAAAAAATTCCAGTCACGCACTGCAGGCAAAAATAATATTAAAGTTGCGGAGTGTGCAGATAAAGATATTTCTTCGGTCACTGCGATAATGAGGAAAACGTTATTTAAATTTGGAGATAGCTGAAGGGTATATACACACATATGTATCTATATGTGCATGTTTGTACTTGAGCTATCAGTCATTTATTTTCCACTTATCAGCAGAGACGTCCTTCGCTTCAAAGTCTACATTTTGTGGTTGGTGTTTTTGGTTTTTGGCAAGTCGTAATATTTTCTTGGCAAAGAACGATAGAAAAAAGTTGAACAGCTGCACTGAATGAAATTGAGATTAAGGATTGAGCTGTTTAATTCATAATCTTTAACTTTTTCTGTATACTCCTGTTTCTTTAATTGATATATACTGTATTCCTAAAGAAATGTTAGTTATTTCCTCTTTAAATTATATTTTTAAATTTTGTATATAATTTTTATATATATATATATATTTAACATTTATTTATAAGTTAGTCCGCAGACCTTTTTTATGAAATTTTATATTCTACAATTCATTTAACTGCTATTTATTTATTGTTCGTCTTCGTAATTCGCGCGACATGGCAACGCTAGTCTAAACACACACACGCACAAGTGACGTAGGCGAGCCCGTGTGTTTGGTGACTGTGGTGAAGAGAGAGCGTGGGGAATCGACTAGTGGTGAGTAACCAACGTAGGCGAGCGAAGAGGAAAATGAAATAATTTATAATTTTCTTTTTTCTCGTTTGAATTCACTTACTTTTTCAATTCGTTGTGGGTGGAAATTACACAGGCATGAAACAAAAACTTATAGCTTTGTTCGGATCACAGTAGTTAGAAATTTGTATGTTATGTTGGTCTCGCAGAAATTCAATTGGTTGCTAGTAATTATTTTAATTTTTTTCTTTAACAGAGAATTGCACAGGGATCGTTGAAAAAGGAGGAGGGCAAAAATATATCACAAAATGGTGCACGACGCAGTTGTTTTTCCTCGTATTTCCTTCGTTTCAAGTGGCGAATTACGGTTTTTTCTGCAATATTACAGGATTTCTTTTTTCAAGATTTTTTTTCTTCTTTATTTCTTATGCACAACGCACACGACTGCGACGCTGCTGCTGAGCTGCGTCCTGCGGTTTTTCTCAGCTGCGATAGGAAAACGCTGTCAGTTTTCCTTTTGCTTTCCTTTTTAATTATTTTCTTTTAAGAATCGCGGGGCGCACTAACACGACCGAGAGAGAGGGAGGGGAGCGCGGGGTTGTGATTACTTTATTATCTAGTTTAGTTAGCAAGGCGCTGACTGGGCTGACGATGACAGTTGTGGGTAATTGAAGCCAAAAACCAACGTGGATCTGATCCTCCAAACGCGAAGTGAAGTCTCCAAGCACTCTAACAGAAATGAGCGGACCTCGCAACGCTTGCTGACTGCGACTGGCGAGTTAACAGCGCGCTGTTGGTGGCAATCTAGTGATGGGAGCGTGAGGCTGTTACTCAACTTCTTTGGTTGATAACAGTGAACAGCACCATGAGTATTTGGGGTTGAAATAATCGAAAGAATTTGTATTTGAACTATTTTAAGTTAATATAATTGTAAAATAAATACATTTTAAGATAAATTGTGTGTTTGTATACTTATTAAAATATTCATTCAATTAACAAAAGCCCGAATTGACGTCTTGGTCAATTTACAAGTGTTATAAAGTAATAAAATCAATAAGACAACAAACCTAAGCATAATGGACTGCAATGTATGTCAGAAATAAATTTCTATTGTGACATGACCAAACCTAAACTCATGGGCCCATCCCTAGTGCAAACGAGCGCTGTTAGCGTAGAAAGAGCGTTGATTGCTTGTGTGGTGAGAAATCGGTTAAAGTGAACGGGAAGGGGGGGTGGCGGATGACAGGCTAAAAAGAAATCGTCAGTCGACAGAGGGAAGCCATGTAGGAAATAAATTAAATGTGAACTGAGCAAAGATGGTTGAAAATGCGTATTTCCCATGAAAAACACCACGCTATGTTAGCCTAACAGTGCAAAGTGCACACACAATAAGACTTTGGAAGGAGAACAGAGGGAGAGAAGAGACAAAAGACCAATGCAACGGTAGAGAGACACATTGTATATCAAGTCCCTGCCAACAAACCAAAACTATTTATGCTTACTGGGCGTTTCAGAAAACCTTCAAACGCGCTTTTAATAATCTTTATGGTTTTTCGTATGACTTTAAATTGGGCGACGACACAATTTCGACGACGCCATATTGTTCGTCAGCCAGAAGAGAGCTACAGCGTGTTAACAGACGCAGAGAGCGAAACTGCGCTGCTGCGTCATCATTGCAAACTGCGCACTTTAAAAAAAAAATCATTTTAATATCAATTTCTATGCGTCCACCGAACGGGAAACAAAATTATTAATGTAGAAATCGCCAGCGTATGGCAGTTGCTTTGTCCTCCCCAATAGTAATTTTTTTGATAAGAGTGCCATATTGAGAAATGGCTGTTGGCTGGCCGTGGTGAGTTTCCGCCGCGGTTTAACAGGCCTGCAATTTGGTTTTCAACTTCACCCTTACCAAGAGAATATCCGTTTTGAGGTGCACTTTGTCTAATTTAATAACTGATTTGGCAAAAGCATATGTCGTCTTATTAAGTGTTTTGTGCTTACTGAGATTGAAATCCTGCACACGGAATGTAAATTTGCAAGTGCTAAGTGTTGATTAGTTCTGAAAGGTAGTGCTAATAAAAAATGTACAGCACTGAAAAATATTATTGTCCAATTTCCGCTCATAACATTTTTATGTTTTGTAGCTCTATATTGAAAGAGTAATGTCTTAAAATGTGAAATACATTTTATGAAATATTAAATGTATATTAGAGGGTAGCATAGGCCCGACCATGTTTTCACATGATGTTTATGAAATGTTATTTTGCTGCGATCACTTGCAAAGCAAATGTAAAATCAAAAGCAAATTAAAAAGCCAGTGTGGGGCTAAGAATTCGCTTAATTAGAGGTCATAGGCTCCAACGAGATCGTGTTTATATAAATAATATAAAATATCATTTACGATCCGTAGATACATAGATACCAGTTTGAGAAGTTTCTCGACAAATATTTCAGCTATCAAAGGTCGCACCTGCCTACGAAATTGATTCTGCACTAGCCTTGTCGCTTTGACAAATAAGCCGAAATAAAAAAGGCAAAAATTAACAAACGAAAATAATAGCAACTTAAATGAACAGACAGTAAAAATACGCTAGTGCTAACGAACTTTGTAAACTTAAAGGCAAGGCTGCAAGCAGAAAATCTCCAAAATTATGCGAGACGTAAAAGCGAGCGATACTAAATACAACGTAGTATAAAGGCGCTGAGCGTTAAAAATAAAATATCAGACACGCAACAGCGACGGCTGCCAGCAGTGTTTTCTATAGAAAACGAAAATTATTTCCTGTTTTCAGCAATAACAACCGCTCGTGAGGTGGAAAACGAAAATATTGCCCTGCAGGCGGAGATAACAGAGTTGGGGGTGTCTAACAGTCGTGGTGAATCCGAAACGCATTTGGCCATTGCATTGCAGTTTGTTTACCATCTGGTATTAGCCACAAGCCTTATAGAGTCTATATGCATGTACATATGTATATGCATACGTATGTATGTATGTACACCCCCTTAACATACCCATTGAAGCTAAAACGACGCAGTTGTAAGAGAAACCGAGACGAGGCGGAGATACAAAGGGGCCCCAAACAATGCGTAAAAGAGGTGATTGATAACAAGGTGCGCCTTACAAATGTTCACTGTCTGCCCTCCACGAGCAATACAGAAATTCGTTAAGACCTCCAATCCATTCGAAATTCACTATGCTTATCTACAATTTAAGTGCTCTGATTTGGGGAATTTGTATATACGTACATAGTGGCAGAATTTAGCGACTCTGAAGGTATGTATGCACATAACACACAAACTTCCATTTTATTGCTTAATAGAATAAAAAGCGACTATCTTTTTACTTAACTTTTATATTTATCAATTTTTGGTATAACATGCCGCTTATTTTTCACGGTGTCTATAATTATGCTGATACAATTGGAGCTACAAATAGAGGGTGAACGTTTTTCGTGCACACAGTTGCACTTTATGTAAACATGTGGGCACATGCACAAGGTTGTGGCAGAAGAAGAAGAAGTGCATTTTACAGGCGAAAAGGAGAAGGAGAGAGGAGACGAGGAATAGGGCCAAAAGGACAACCATAGAAAGAGGGAGCAGCCGAGCTTGGTGTATTTTTGGCACACAATTGCCCCCTTGTAACACCCTCCCTTTCTCGCATTCGCTTATAACATTTCGCTGTGTGGTGCATTCAACCTGCTGGTGAGAGAGACAGGTGCATTTACAGTTGCTCGCGATCAACAGCTGTGTGAGTGATGGCGATTCGGGCAATTAATTAACTGCGTTTGTGTGATAGGGTATCTCAAATTGATTTCGTTAACAAACATTTATGTATTCAAAAAAATGTATATTTTTCATTAGTTTTTCCAATGTAGTTGGAGCATAAAGATGCTAACTAAATTTCCCGTATAAATGTACATTGTATGTATTAAATTCATAGCACATGGTGAGCAGTTAAGGTAAAGAGAGAAAGAAGGCAGACACTGGACTCGGAGGCAACGCAATTTGCTGAACTTTAATGCGTAGCAAGCCAAATCGAAAACTGCAGTAAACAATGAAACGTTGCTAACGGGCCACCCTCCAACTTCCCCACCCCCTGACCGCGATGATTTGTTATTGTTGGCCTGGCTTACACGGGGTTGTTGTTGCTGCGTAGCTTTTTTTGTAGCTGGATAAGGCAGCGGCGCATGCAACAAATTGCGTTCTGTTGGTAGAACGACAACGACAACGACATTCACAGATGAGAGACAAAGGACCATGTGTAGAAATTTTAAACAAGGAGTATAATGCACTCTAAAAACAGCGAAAATTACTAAACGATTTAAGTGTACTAATATTCTGACAAAAAATGTATTAAATTTAACATTTACCCAAACAAAAATATTTTCTCCACTTCACAGTTATAGTTTATTTTTTATATACTGAAAGATGGAGCTTACACTATTTTTCTTGCTATATATTACTATAAATATTGTTGGTTCATTTTTTAGTTACACAAGATATGGCTATAAAAAAGATAAAAATGTCAGCCCCGAGAATAAGATAGCACAAAGACCACAAGGAATCGAAACTCGATGACGTAGTTTGTTTTCCAGCTGAATTCCAATTGCAATTGTTCAAATTACCCCACTTGAACGAGAAAACCAGAATGCTCTTACAAGATGAGAAAACATTCAGTATAGGAGGAAAATGTGTGCGACATAGGGTGGAAAAGGAGCTTGGAGTTTATCACCACCAGCAAATAGAACGACGCATACAAATATCGCCGGAGTTGTCGTCATCCATGGAACGATTAACAAAAGCAGTTGATTGAACTTCGTTTGGCCTCCGCACATCCCACGGCGAATGTTTGTTTGTGCCCGTGTGTACTTGAAATGCCCCACTTTGCGGTGTGGGGCTAATAATTTCGGGTGTTAATGACCAGAGCTCTGACTTTCAACGCTGCAAACAAGTCCCAGACATTGTGTTCCACAGATTGATGGGGGCCTGGAAATTCCAGATGCACATAGTGGGATCCACTTTCGATTATTGGTAGTTGCATCTGGTTAGGATTTTAACATCTATTGAACTTCTATAAGAGCTCTTTCATCTAGCACCCTAAAGTTACAATTCTTCCAACCAATTTTTAAAGGATTTAATTTAAAATTGCATGTATAAAACAGTAAAGATCAAGCAAATTCTGTGAATTAGATTATCATACAACATTTTATCGCTCGACGCAGATGAGTTGAGATGAACTGCTGTCAAATGTGGGCGTTTTTGGGTAACGCCCGAAAATGGACCGAGTCGAAGTGTCATTAGACTCATATTTTTCGTTTCGTACTTTTTATATTTATATTTTTAGGCTACAATTCGGATTGTACATCTAGTATATATGCATATAAAAAACACGATATGTTGACATACATAAAGGCAGAGATTCTTCAACAGTATAAGAAAAACATACATATGCGTTTGGACGGAATAGACTTACAACTAATTACGCAGATTCGCGGTTAAAATTTGTGGTATTCGAGAGGCGCATCTCTAAGGCACTGAACTGGTGGATGGAATGTACACTATAGTTTAAGCAATGTTTGATTGCGAAGCATCAGGGTAATCTTGTGCTGCTTTCGGACGGTATAGATTGTGCAATTTCGTTGTGAGCCCCATAGATGGATGGAAAATACTTTTATTAGCCCACGGGCATGGTGGACACAGTGCTGTGTGGGGTGGTTGGTCGCGATCCTGCAAGTGAGTTGGCGGTGGATGCGTGCAGGGAAGCCATTGTGCCCATCTGGAACGGTAATTAGAATCATTAGTCATATGTTGGATATGATTGCTTGTTGAACGTACGCGTAAATGGGCTAGATCCTCCAGTTTGGTCAGGTCCACCAGTTCCAAAAACAGAGAGTACACCAAGGCCCATCCATAGATGGACAACACACAGAAAATGGTCCACAGGAGCACCATAAGCACATTGTAGGCAAAGTACAGATCATTGACAATGGCAAAGAAGATCAGTGCCAAAGCCCGCCAAACAGTAAATATGGCAAAGGACCACAGCCAGGGCATTACCTTCCTCTCGTATTCCTATGATAGCATTATAAAAAACATATATTACAATGGGTTTAGACACAAATACTCGTTTGCCAATTGATGGGACTATGTGCTAATTTCTTGGTTGTGACTGTGCAGGATGAGTATGTTACCCTTTTGCTCAGTAAGCGTTTCTGTTCTCCCAGTTTTTTATGCTTTCGGGCAATGAAAAATGTAAATGAATTGCATGCAACAGCTGTAGGATACCCAGCACTAAAACTTACCTTGCGCAGAGCCACGCAGAGTAGGACACTGGTGACAAAGTTTATCAGCGCCATGATAAGCGAGAACAATGCAAAGACAATCAGCATGTTGCGAACTGCAAATAGATCAGGTGGTTAGTAAAAGGATATTCCAAGCTAGGACAACGATTTCCAATAGGACAAAGTGTTCAAAAATGTTATATAAAATCGTAAAATACACCAATAAGCTTACCATGCTTGTTGCCCACATAGACGAACTCATAGGATATGATGTAGTAGCCATAATGCGTGGATCCTGGCGCAGCCATCGCATAGCAGTAGATGTCGAAGATGCTCGTGGCGATGGTGAAGAGGGACAGGAACTGCAAGGAAGTTTCGTGTTACAAAAAAGGACTTTCTCTGCAAGGATTTTCAGATCCTACAATGGCAAACAATCCGACCAGCATGGCACCCTTCTGTATGTCGATGTACTGGTTATTTTTGAGCAACGGTCGCTGGTACCACGGAATCCTGACGGACCGCGTGGATCGGGACATCTTGGAGTGCAAATTCGTCGAGGATCTGAAGGATTATATCTATCAGCTTGGACATGTTACTATAAAGATTATATGGAAAGCTTACCTTCCCGTAGCATGGGAATAAACCGACGGATTGGACCGATATGTGGAGGGCGTTTTCCTACCGTAATTCATCATGAAGCCTTGTAAGTCTCGTCAGGTGTATAAGAAGGAAAGTCCTTTGTCAATTCCTCAATCAGCTACTAAAACATTTAAAACATAACCGTTAGTAAGCGCGTTCCATTCATTTTCGTTTATTGACCAGGGCGTGTTTGCTTAATTTGTGTTTTTGGGTGTGTCAAGCAAGGCTTAACATTTTCGAAAACTTTAGCCGCGTTTTTGGCACTTTTAAAGGCGGTTAACTTTATGTAAATCAGTCTTAGGCTGTTGCAGTGTCTGTAGGGGATTTCGGGAAACAATAATTGAAATGCCATTGCATTTATTTACCTATGAAAAACGAATTATTAATCACCTCGCAACGCATCAAAAACAAAACACACGAATCAGGGCTTAGTGAATTCCAGGGATGCAATAATGAAAAGTAGGGAATACCGATACAGCAACAAGTGCTATCGATATTTCTTACGATGGGCAGCACTGTCTAATCAGCTGTTTAAGTGGGCGCCCGCTTATTTAGTAATTTAAATGTTATACTGGATGTAAGGAAAATTATTAAATTGGTATTCATAAGTGAGGTGTTTATGGTTATGACATATACGCATACGTAAGCTTTTAACATTTAAAAATAAAATGTAGTACCTCCTTTGTCAATCATATATTTAAAGTTCGTTCCTGATTTACAAAAAAAAATAAAACACCTTAATTTGTATCTGATGAATAAGTTCCTAATAAAACTTGAATATGTTCAATGAAATCCAATTGTGTTATAACGCCATATAATTTGATTTCAATTGATTGCTATCGATTAACTCCAGCAATTTGATTGCGCTATCGAGAACGAATGCGAAGCCCTGGATTGCGCGCGCGTATGTGTGTTTGTTTATGTGTGTGTGAGCAGAGGAGGGCGAAAACAATCGACCAATGGAAAACATAAACATTTAATTTTGGACATATTTGGTATCAGAACTAAATGACCGGCTCAACATGTCACTGCCGCGGATCACGGACTTCGAAATTCTCGAAAAACTCGGAGCTGGCAGCTATGCGACCGTTTACAAAGCGCGGCACAAAGTGGGACACCAGTTACATACACACCACATAGCACCAAGGGTCTAATATTTACGTTTTTGTATTTCAGAAACAGCGCACTTATCACGCCATCAAGTATGTGGAAATGTCGACGTTGTCGCAAACCTCGCGGGAAAACCTAATCACCGAAATACGCCTCCTCCGGGAACTCAAGCACAAGTACATTGTGACCCTGCAGGATTTCTTCTGGGACGACAAGTATGCACCGTCGTTCCATACAATCAGTCGATGATTCATCCTTCTAGCAGGGCTAGCATATATGTAGGACCTCACGTGGTGTCAGGTCCAGCTTGCAATCCGAACCACTGAATAGGGGTATAGGTATTAGTCTAGGTATACATAAAATATGTTGGATGTTAATATCAGTGCTTCAATTTAAATAATTATCATATTATCGGTGTAACTCATACCACTAGGCTGTCTTATTGTGCAATCACTATTGTTGTAACGTTCATCTAGATTTGACAAATTTCCGCGTAACTAATTAGCTGATATCGGTTTTCTTTAGAAACTATATACCACGTGCAAAAGTAATAGTTCTGCTTTATTTCAGAAACATTTACATCGTTTTGGAGTATTGCAATGCCGGCAATCTATCCGCTTTTATACGAACCAAGAAGGCATTGCCGGAGAGCACCTGTCGCTACTTTCTGCGCCAACTGGCGGCCGCTGTGCAGTACATGCGAGCCAATGATGTGTCCCACTTCGACCTTAAGCCACAGAACCTGCTGCTCACCCGTGGAGCCAATAATGTGTCCTTGAAGGTGGCAGACTTTGGGTAGTTACCAAAGTAGTATTGCAATAGACATGTATTAATAACTCTAATATGTTGTAGGTTTGCTCAGCACCTGAAACTGGGCGAAATCAATCAACAGCTGAAAGGATCGCCACTCTACATGGCGCCGGAGATTGTGCGCAAGCATCAGTACGATGCCAAGGCGGATCTCTGGAGCATCGGGGTGATACTCTACGAATGTCTATTCGGCAAGGCGCCTTATAGTTCGCGTACCATTGAGGAGCTATTGCTGCGGATCAGGAAGGCTGAGGCCATAACACTGCCACCAAACGCTCGGATCAGCAACGAGTGCCATGATCTCCTGCGTCGCCTTTTAGCCCACGAGCCCACGGCGCGCATTTCGTTTGCGGACTTTTTTGCGCATCCTTTTCTCGATCTCAAGACGTTTCCCACGGAGCACACTCTGCAAAAGGCCATTGATCTGGTCACGCAGGCATGCGCCTACGATGAGAAACGCAACTACAAGGAGGCTTACTATCTGTACTGCAGTGCCCTGCAGTATTTTGTGCCGCTAATCACGGAGGAGGCGGATGCCACCAAGCGGCTGGCATTGCGCAATCGTGCCTTGTCCTACACAAAGCGCGCCGAGGAAATCAAGAATTGCATAATCGAGGACGAGTACAGGATGTTGGCTGAACGGCAGCGAAAAGCGGATACAGCTGCCACAGCTAACCAAGAGTCCTCTCCAGCTACCCAGTTACCCGCTGCGCAGCCCAGCAGCTCGCGGGTCGCGGAGATGCTGGAACCGGATGCCCGCTATAAACAGCTATGTACGATTTGAATTGCTATGCCAATTTGATATTTTATAATACCGCTCCTCCATTCAAGATGCCCTTTCGAACTCAAGTCCGTCCCTGAAGACTGGCCTGGAAATCGGACGGAAGGGTGAGCTATACCTCTACGAACGGAAGCTGGACGCAGCCCTGGAGTCGTATACCTCAGCGCTGGGCATTCTGGTGCCGTTCGTGAATAATGAACCAAAGGGCGAACGCCGCAATCTGTTGCTGCAGCAGGTTAGCTAAATGTGCACTAAATGCTAACAAATTGACCCATGAAGAACCATTTTTAGCTGGAGTTCTGGATGAAGGAGGCGGAGAGCATCAAGAGCATTTTGAGCGCCAAGCACTTGGACGAGGAGGAGCAGAAGCTGTCCACGGTACGCAGCTGCAGCATACAGTAGACAACATAAAATATAATTGAATTCGATGAGCAATTTTCGGCGCCTGGTGCGCATTTGTTAGAGTATTTTTGTAGGTCGATGCGATGTGCGAGGAGCATCGCTTAGTCACGTAGCCTTCTATGATCTTATATACAATATACAGATATACAAATGTCTCTCCTAGACTCGCTTTCTATGTACAGCATTATCATGAACGCTTTGGTAACGCTCCCCAAAACCCTATTATGTATTTATTGGTATTCGTATTCGTAATTGTTATGTAAGTCCTAACACCGAGGCCTTCTACTTGTATACTGACCCTCTTGTTTGCAGCTGAAAACCGTTGTTAAGTTTTAAACCATTTGATTTTCTATTTTAAGCGCACTTCATTGAGAACCGTCACATTCCAGGGCTGGTCAAATCCGCCGCTACTTTATTTCATTTTGATCATAGTGCTTAATTTGATTAAAATTGTTTAAACATAACCGAAACAGTTTCGTTTTATATTGGTCAAGAATGCGATAGTGGCGCTCTCTTTTAATCGAGTAGTTTTAATCTCCTATCAGTCCTATCAATTGCTGTAAATTATCGTAATCAATATCAATATGGGCAATGTCAGAAGGCTTATAAAAGCGGCCGTCGGACGATAGGCGCTCATTTTTAGCTGAGAAAATGTCGCGGAATCAGGATCTCTGTCTGACGGCCATCATCGCCCTCTTGACCATCGTGGGAATTTCCCATGGTGCTCCCCAAATGGGACGTGTGGTCAATGGCACGGACTCCAGCGTGGAGAAATACCCCTTCGTGGTTAGTTGGTCGACAGTCCAACAGTAATGGGTGAAATGAATGAAAATAATGTTTACCTTAATGCACTTCAGATTTCGCTGCGTGGATCCACTGGCTCGCATTCCTGTGGCGGCTCCATTATTTCCAAGCAGTTTGTGATGACTGCTGCCCATTGTACGGACGCACGCAGACCCGTAGACCTGTCCGTTCAGTATGGAGTGACCACGATTGGCGCATACGGTCCGAATGTGGTGGGCGTCAAGAAGATTATCCAGCACGAGAGGTACAATCCCTACAACAACTATGCCAACGACATTTCCCTGCTGCTCGTGGAGAAACCCTTCGACTTTAATGGCATCAATGTTGCACCCGTAAAGCTGCCGGAGCTCGCATATGCCACACCTCAAACGAATGCCGGTGGCGAGGGAGTGCTCATCGGATGGGGCCTCAATGAGGTTGGTTTCGATCTCGATTTCGATCATGCTTTGTGTCTAAGCCACTAATCTCTACGTAAATCTCTTTAGACTGGCGGATACCTCCAATCCACACTGCAGGAGGTGGATTTGAAGATCTACTCCGACGCGGAGTGCACCCAACGTCACGCCGGTAGCACGGATCCCAGGTACCACATCTGCGGAGGCGTGGACGAGGGCGGCAAGGGACAGTGCAGCGGAGATTCCGGTGGACCCCTCATCTACAATGGCCAGCAGGTGGGCATCGTGTCCTGGAGCATCAAGCCCTGCACCGTGGCTCCCTATCCGGGTGTCTACACCAAGGTCAGCCAGTATATCGACTGGATCAGGAGGAACCAGATAATTTTGGCCTAGTCATCCCATTATCTTTGTGGACAGTGCATTGGCTATACCATACCTGCAATAAATAATGCTGATATTGATTAAATTGGTGCTTTTTTAAGCCGTAAATCGGTGTCAAGTTACTTGGGATTTGCCTGTTTTTTGATAAGGATATTGATAATATTGGGTTAATTTCCCATTTCCTATCATTGGATTTAATCAATCCTTAAGAGCTTCTTATTTTTTGATTATTTATTTTATTTACTTATTTTATATTTTGTTGGTAGATAATTAAATAAATTAAATACATATATGTAATCACAAAAATATTAACAATTAACTCTAAATAACAAGTGCTGTTTCCTTTCATTTACGAACATATACTTATGACCGATAGCTTTATTTTGTTTTTAGCCATAAATTTCGTTAGGAAATCCATTGAGTTTTGCGCATTTTGGCTATTTTTGAATGTTTTAGTGGTTCCGACGAGTACCATTTTATGTACATAAATGACAACAGATTTAATGACCTTCAATCTAAAGCCGTAAATAATATTAATCGCTCATATTCGACGAGCTTATAAAAGCGGTAGCGAGCCCCGAGTATCAGTTTTTGGCCAAAAATGTTGTCGAATCAAGATCTCAGTCTGACTTTAATCGTTCTCCTGACCATTACTACGGTTGGTCAGGCCGCGCCCCCCATATCAAGGGTGGTCAATGGTACGGACTCTAGTATCCTGAAATATCCTTTCGTGGTAAGAAAAGTTAAGTTAAATATGATCGGAGTTAAACCAAAAATAGAACAAAAGAAATAATCCGAGAAGTGTCTCAAAAATTTGAATTTACGAATTGAATTTTGGATTTAATAAAGAGGTTTCTGGTATTTTATGAAAAATATATTATTTTTAATCAATTTAAAAAGTACAGATTCTACATTTTAATCTGTTAATTTCTGGATCAAATCTAAGGTATCACTGCGGAGCTATGATGGCTCGCATTCCTGCGGAGGATCTATTATCTCCAGACTATTTGTGATGACCGCTGCTCATTGCACCAATGGTCGTCCTGCGGATACCCTATCGATTCAGTTTGGAGTGACTAATATTAGTGGCGTGGGTCCGAATGTGGTGGGCATAAAAAAGATCATCCAGCACGAGGACTTCGATCGCACTCGCCGAAATGCGAATGACATCTCGCTGCTGTTGGTGCAGGAGCCTTTTGAGTTCGATGGTGTCTCTGTGGCTCCAGTGGAGCTGCCAGTTCAGGCTTTTGCTGTGCCTCAATCAGTTGCTGGCGTTGAGGGAGTGCTCATCGGCTGGGGTCTCAATGACGTGGGTTTCCATAGGAAAATACATTTTTAAATGGGTTTATTTTATAGTATGCCCTTTTTTAGACCAATGGAAGTGTGCAGAAAACCCTACAGGAGGTTTCCCTGAAAATTTACTCGGATGAGGAGTGCACCGCCCGACACAATGGCCAAACAGATCCCAGATATCACATTTGCGGCGGAGTTGATGAAGGGGGAAAGGGTCAGTGCAGCGGAGATTCGGGCGGACCACTCATCTATAATGGCCAGCAGGTGGGCATCGTGTCCTGGAGCATCAAGCCCTGCACCGTGGCTCCCTATCCGGGTGTCTACACCAAGGTCAGCCAGTACGTTGACTGGATTAAACACAAAGTATATTGTTCAATAAATTGAAAATTTAACCACTTAATAAATAATCAAATCGGCAGTATTGACTTGTTCCTTTGGGGCGATAAGCCAAATATCTGTGCTATAATTATAAAGCCCATAAGGGGCAATAAATATTGGGAATTATATTCCTACCTATAAAGTAAGCATATTGTTGATTTGAAACGAGTTTGATTTGGCGCCAAAGCAGTGGATTTGGTTGTCACTTTGCAAGCAGTTTAATGCAGTGCGTGTGGATTTAAAGTATTCATAAAACTGTAGTCGAAATTGGCGCTTGTTTCTGGTGCTCATCAAACTGTAATTTAAAATTATATATAATGGAACTTGATATTAATTGTTAGGGACGAAGTGAATTATGTTTAATTTTTTTATTTGTTTTGTACTTATTATAAGCGCTTCAAGTGGGCTATATCAATAGGGGTGCTGCTGCCAACTGGTGTTGAACATATACTTTCAGTCCCAATGGAAAACATAGTTTTCAAATCCCTTATTGTGGCTTTTGAAGGTCTCGGGATGCCTGCAACTCCCTCGCCTGCAAATATTTGTGCTGCAGACCTTCATTAGCACCGAAATGAAGAAGTGAGCAGTTTGAGCAGCACTGGGTCACTGGACCAATACGAAGTCACCCGACACGAATCGAAATCGCTCATACGCCCCGTCGGCTGCTGCTGCGGATGCTTCTTAATGCTGATGGTTCTACGGCCGCGGCTTCAACTTCTGGCACTGCAGTCAACATTTTCAACTCAAACGGAACGCACGGTTGGGCGGACGCAGTTTGAAATAATTCAAAAGTTTTTGTCCGTTGGTTTTGTGTTTTTGAATTCGAAACAATTGTTTAAAAAAATTGTGTAAAAAAACGAATAAACAAATAAAACGAGTATCAAGCTTGAAATCTCATTAAAAAGCAATTTATACAAACGCTTGGTATCTTTTTGAGAGTTGTGTTTTGCAGTTTTTCTTATCTGTATATACAAATTCAAAGATCATGTCGACGATGTTTCTGCAGTTTTTGTGTTTTTACGCTTGCCATTGAGGCGGCCAAAAAATGTGGAAAAAATATTGCATTTGCCACAGCACAGAATGCGGAAGGTCGCCCATTATGACGGACCCAAAACTCATTGCATTCATTCGTTTAATTAAAAAACAGAAACACATAAAAAAGGAGGAAGAACAGAAATGACTTGTTAATTGGCTGCTGCTGCGAGGGCCACACGGCGTATGCGTGATACTAGGGCTTGCTGATTTTCGAGCGGAATAAAAGTGCAGAAACTGCAGGCCCCACATTGATCCAGCGCCCACTTTTCGCCCTGTTTTTCCCCAGAGCCTCATATATATTTCAGCAAATCAAATCAAAGCCCAAAAGTAGGCAACAAAAGCACACAATGAGATCCGTAATACGATTTTGGCTAGCTCCTGCCGTTCCTCAAAGTATTTTCGGAAAAATTCGTGGAAACACTCAACGCTGAACGTATAGAAAAGTACTTTCAAACACCCCTTTACACTCTCCCCCTCCCCTCCCCGCCACGCACACACACACACACACACACACACACACACACTCGCATTCGCGCATTTAACTTACAACAAAAGCAATTTGAAAACAATTTTTCGAGTTTCGAGAAAAACGTGTGGCCCTGTGCGGTCGTGGCCTACATGCTTATGGGCTAAAAAAAATGGAAAACTGGGCGTGGCATCTGCTGGCAATTTGTAACATTCCAAACAAAAGGTGCATGCAACAAAAGTTCCCAGAGCATCGAAGGCTTTTGTGATATACTCAGCAGCGTGACTTGCAAAAAGATAAAATTACATTGGAAAAATGTTCTAAAGTTACTCATTAGGAAATCCATATCATGAAATAATTGTTGGTAATTTTAAAATTACACTTATCTGCAAGTTGTCAGGATTTCTTATTAGATTCCATTGGAATAGTATTTTGAGGTGGAAATGAAGTTGTCAAATGATCTTAACAAAACTGCAATAACAAATGCTTTGCTTAAACTCGAATTTAAATGAATGTCTAATATTTTAGCTCGAACATCGTCGAAGATCTTTGTCAGAACGTTTTAAAAAATACAAACAAACGAAAACCACAATTAAGTTAATAATATTAACCGAATAAGCGCAGTAGAAACAAAGTCTTCCAAAAAGCGGAACGATTCCACTGAGAGGAACAAGGTGAAAATTGCAATTTCAGTGAGTGCAGTCTGTCAGTTCTTCAGTCTGCCAATTTGTCAGTTCGTCAGTTCGTCAGCTCGTCAGCTCGTCAGCTCGTCAGTGTGTGTGGTGGCAGTGTGTTAGTGAGTGTGAACTCTGTGGTAAAGGTCAAAACTCATTTGAAAATGTCGAGCGGCAACCAAGAAGCAATGTCAACAAAAGCAGCTGTCAACTCGGTGGACGTGGACGTGGACGTGGACGAGGACAAGGCCTCCACAATGCATATGCATCCAACATCCTCATCAGCATCCTCATCGGGATCGATTGCGTCCAGCGCCCATGTGAAAGCCCTGGCCATCCTGGTGGCCATCGTCTTGTGCAGCGGCAGCTTGGGACTCGCCGACGGGCTCAAGTGCCACATGTGCGGCCAGTACAACGAGGGCGTGGGCTCCATCACGCCCTGCACCAACTACACCAAGGACATCGCCCATCTCTACCTGAAGGAGTGCACCAAGAAGAGCGAGAAGTTCTGCGTGGTGAGTGCATCATTGGTTCCCTGTGATCCGAAAATATCAGCGAGTTCAATCCATTGTTGTAATTGTGTGTCTTATGGAATTTTGCCTTGGAACATTTTGGAATTTCCACTTTATTTTAGGAAATTTCTTCTATTTTTTCCTTATATTAATTTCAAAAGCTCGAACCATAACGAAGTATTGAAAAATCACTCGAATCCAACGGGAACATAATTTTGATCAATTGTTTGATAAACAATGCCAGGTTTTTGTTGCTCACCATCATTGGTGGACTATTTCCACAGTATTTACTTTTGTCTTTGCCCCGGACCAATTGAACCGAATTGGAAACGTTGCATTCATTTATTTATAGACTCATTCATTTTGGTTCATTGCTACTCATTGTTGTCATTGTCCGGGCGAGCAAAAAGGCAACCCAAGAGGCAAACAGCGATAGTCCACCAGCTCCTGCTCCTCCTGCTCCTGCTGCCCCTTTCCGCCTCCTTCCTGCCATCCATCCATTGATGACTTCTCGAGTTGATGTTTCCATTTTATTGTTTTTCGCCCGTTCCCATATTGATTGTGTGTGTTCTGTGTGGCATTATCTCTGTATATTTCTTACGAAGTAATATCGTTGGCAGTTCTGCTGTTGTCACAGTTTTATTTTCAGTGCTCGTCACAGAAACAAAAACATAACAAAAAACAGAAGCAGAAAGATAAATTGGTTGTAAAAACAGAGTGAATCATTTGAATTTCCAGCGCGAATTAAATTTGTGAGCACATTGATTAGCTCTTATTCTCCAACAGTTTTAGCAGACAATCAAATGGGATTTTTAATACCAAAAACATATTGGCTTTAAGTAATTACTAATTACTTTCTTCTGGCGGGTTACAGATAATAATTGTTTGCCAAATTAGCTTAGGTTTTTTGAATTCTAACCTGATTTGTCTGTTAAATTGTCAAATTCGTTTTAAAACTTGCCTAACGTTTGTGTTTCTTATTTTAAATATTTCTTTTAATGAATGGAATAACGTAGCTCATTATGGCCCATCACCTAAGCCAACTAGGTAAAAGCTTTTGACCCTTAAAAGCGACTCACGTCTTTTGCGACTGCGTTACGTATACGCGCCGTGTACCAATTTGCATGAAGCACAAAATGAGGCGGCGTTGTTCTGTGAGTGCCTACCCAGCTCATCAGCATCCTGGGGCACATCCATCCAACCGGGGAGCAAGGTAAACTAATGCCATCCGACTGCTCTGGCAATTTCAATTAGTTTTGTGGCCGTCGAGCGGTTTGCTCGATGCCGACGATCTATACCAGTGTAGTGGGAAGGCTGTACGAGTACGTGCGCCTTTAGCTGGCGCCCTGATTATGGGCGTGGCAGCCCAATTGTGCGCATAAATTGCGGCATATTGTATGCACTCAATCCTCCAGTGGGCGTGGCGTGCGGTGAGTGCCTCTGTGTCTCTGTCTGTGTGTGCGGAGCACTTAACGAATTGCAACGGAGGAGAAGGAGCCCCACATCCTGCGAATCCTGCTTGCTTGCGCTTTGGCAATCATTAAATATTTAACACCTACTTGCCATGCACAGCTGCCAACTGGCTGGCGATTGCAGGCACATCTTTGCTATGATTCACCCGCCTTTTTTCGGGCTGGGTTGGCACATAAATTGTTATTTTCTGCGGCGCTCGATGGTTAACACGTACCGCTCATTTCATCGGGCCACGCCCACGCCGCACACACCGCCCACTCATCGGCATAATTTAGTTTGCCAGGTTTCCGCACTTTTATTTGAATTGGGTATTTCATGCGGTTGGGATTTTGGGTAGGAAATCACTGAAAAACGCATATACTATTTATCACACATTTCGCAACTTTTATAATCGCTGGTTGGGGATACAAAAAAAGAAGGACGTTGAATATCACAACGCTGTGCCATTAAATTTGATTTCCTCTGGCTTTTTTCACGCTCGTCCTTGTGGTGCAACAAATGTGTCGTTTTTGCGCTGCGCACAAATTGCATTTAATTGCAATTGGCAGCCCGGCGAAACAGCAAATGATATGCAATTTATGCTCAATGTCCCCAAAAAGTGCGTCTTTGTTGCGCATTTCATATTTATTTATGTTATTCCCTCCTTACTTAATAATCATTGAAAGTGACATTAATTTATGCGTGTAAATGCATAAATCCAGCCAGATTAATAATCAAGTTATTTATTAGAGGTCTGTATTCATTTATTAAATTGAAAGTAAATATTAAATGGTTTATAAGCCATATTTTTACATCGAATTTAAATAGCGAGCAAATGAATATTTAAAATCGTTTAACACAATGTTTTTCCATGCATGCGAGCTTATGTTTCCATTTCAATTTGCTATCGTGTCCGGTTATTTAAAGAAAATAACAATAAATGTTAAAAAGTGGTAGCAACGTTACTGCATATATGTATATATTTTTTCCTGGCTTGTATTTATCTGAATTATTTAATTACTGTGCCCTGCTGCGAGGCTTTTCCCATTAATTTTTTTTACCATTTTGCACCCGTGAAATGTAGCGAAAAATATCTAAGAAAACACAAAAGCCAACACAATACTTATACAGTAAGCCTTGGGTATTTCTGTTTAGCTTTTATCTTTCTTTTTTGCCGCCATCCTGATAATTGCCCTTCATTTTGTTATTAACAGCTTCACAGACACTTAATTAATAGCGTAATTTATGCCAAGCCGCCAAAGTAAAGACCCGCCAAGATGGCGATGATGATGATGATGATGATGATACCCTGCTCGAAAAGTAGCCAAGGAAAGGAAAAATATGTTGCAACACGAAAGGCGGGCACAGGAAACTTTTGTTTAAATATTAACCGACCTCCGGCCCTCATTTTGGCCATAAAACTTGAAGTGTTCACAACAGTTGCTGTTTTTGCGGTTCTCCAGCTGACTGCTTGACCTGATGTCGTCGTGTTTTTCGGCCAAGTAGTTGGCCTTCTTGTTGATTGTTTGTTCGCCGCTAGTTACTTAGGTCTCCACCCAAAAAAGTAGAAGGGAGTTATTCGCCTTGGCGCCGTCTGCCGGAAATCGTCTTATATATATTTATGAGTTAAATTTATATTCAAATTAGCCGTTGCCCGAGCAAGGCACAACCGACTGCATAATTCATAATTTCGATAATGAGTTCCAGGGTAGCATAAATCCGCCCTCATTTCGCACACCTAATCTACATCTTGTGTGGAGCCCGCGGGGAGGAAAAACTGGAGGAGCTAAAACAATGGCAGTCCATTGTTTGGAGGGTCGGCCGAGGCACGTAAACAAATACGGTCATCATGTATGTACATATGCACACTTAACCCTTGACCCCATGCAAAACAAAAGAAAGTGGATGTGTTGGAATGTGGGAGATATATTGTAGGCGCCAAATTAATTTCTTGTTTCCTCCTTTTTTCAATTATTTCCGTGAAAAAATACTACCTTTTTTAACACACAAAATCTAAAGACGCACAGCGTGAATAAATGCTCCACCAGTTCCACGGATTGGTTTTCGACCTGCAACTAAGCGTATTTTGAATAAAGATGGTATATTTCAAGCAAATAAACACCCAGTGCAATATAAGCGCCAAATCCTGAGTTCTAAAAGTTTAAATCAGTTCGAATAGATCTTAGTTTCTTTTACTGCCAACACACACTTACCAAAATCGAAGAGCAAAAAGCGAGGCTTCATCGATTGAAGCTGAACCTGCTCGGCCGGATATTGCAGTATCAATTCTCGGCAAAAGTGCAGAAGGCATAAACGAAACCTTTTTGCTGCTATTGTGGCTACGTGCCCACTGGACGCAACTGCCCAAAAAACCCCAAGTGGCGACAAACAAACACGAATATATAGGGCACAAGTACGTCCGGCCACGCCCCATCGACCAAAAACTGAGAATGGGTCTAAGGACTAAGGACTTGGGATGAGACAAGGGGATGGCCACAAAAACGGAATGCAAATATTTTCGCTTCATTTTGACTGTCGTACATTCCTGGCCCTTGTTTGCCGGCACTGTTGTTGCAATTAGGAGTGTTTACGCTGCCTTCCGGGCAAACACGCCCCAAAATCACTTAAAACTTGGCATTTTGCCTTCATTATTGTTTGTAATGCTGTGCAAAGGGACACCTTTTATTATTTACTTTCCAAGAACTATAGCAAATCAGTCGGTCTGTAAAAGATATAAAAGATGGAAGATGCAGAACTGAAACTCAGGAAATATAATTATTTAAGTAATCCTGAAAGTTGCACTGACTTTCATAGAATTTTAGAACCATCTGCGGTATTTCCACATATGCAATTTCACTTGGCACCATTTGAGGTTGATCGAGATGCCAAAATCTTATTAAGAATGATGTTCTACCATTATTCTTGGAGCCCTTCAAAATTTCTTGAGCAGTGAAGCCATGCTTAAACGGACTATCGACAACTACGCAAGGATCAATTCTCAGCCTTTTAGCCTTAGTTTCGTATAGATTATTCAGATCTTGCGCCCTCTTCAGACCTATTTGCGAATCGAACGATTTAATCAGTGAATGACAATCCAGATCTGTGGCCGACTCCCAGGTGTTATCTTCATCGGTGTAATGTAGCCATTTGACCAAGTATTGCACTTGGCCCATATAATGCCTGCGATCCAAAATCTTCTCCACAAAATATTCCTCAGTTTCATCGGAATCCGTGAAATTTGAAATGGTTTCACCACTATCGACGTCTGAATCCATTGTATATTTTTTATATTAGTCTAAAATAGTATTATTTTTTAGGTAGTTCGAGTTGTGACAGCAATGTCAGAACAAAAAACGTTTTCACAACTTGTTATCTACAGATACTCAACCAAACTAACTTTCTGCGCACACAAGTTTTGTTTTTAAATGCTGGGCTACTTTAATATCCTTTTGCCAAGAAGATATGAAACTATGAAAAAATTGTAATGAATTCATTTAATATCCTGAAGTAGAAAAGTTTGCCATATACTTAATGCCAACAGCTTGGGAAATGCGGCATTAATAATAACCAATTCAATAGCAGAAAGTGAATAACATTGTTTGTCCGGAAATCTATTAGAGATCCTTGGATGCTGGGTAAGTCCTTTCGAACAACAATAAGAATAAGATGAGCCGTCAAAAGGAAAAACTGCGGAAAATATCGTAAAAAATTATGCGTAAACTTGGCGAAAAGTTTGAAATACTCGTATAACAAACTTTGTTGAGGTTGGTTTCGGGTATCATGTTGTTTAATGAAGAAAATCTTGTTCTTTTAAAGGCAAACTTTGTATGCCACAAAAATCGTTGATGAATCACTTGACAATAAATTGGTGAATCAGCTTAAACATTTTGAAAGGTGTTACACAATGGATTCTTATATTTCTCAATTTTGTCTTCTTTTCTGCACTGAAAAACATAAGTTTCTGGTTTCCTTCGAAGCCAGTTCCAATTTTAATGGCTTTATTTTGTAGAAGCAAGGCGCCACGTACCTGATATTAAATCGGCAAAGTTTTATTTTATTGCCCGAAATTAAAAGCTCGATTATGCGCGATGACTTGGGACAGATTTGTGGGATTGGGTCGCTTGGTTAGAATACTTTTTAGGGGCCAGGGCCAGGATTTACATGCGAATGTGGCAATCAAACTGTGCAGTGAGCGCTACGTGGACGGAATAAATCAGCGACTTTTGCGGCACGAAGGAGTTGGAGATTCACGGAAAATACATAATAAAATGTTCGCCTTCGTCAAGTGCAGTACAGTGAAGCTTCGCAAATCGAAATGGGGTGAGGGTCAAGGAGCGAGCTGCTGCTTTTTTACTGAAGCCATAAATGGGGGCAGGGCGATTTCCGTGCGGCGAGTTGTGAAATCAGCGTCAAATCGGAAGCCACGGAAGTGGAGAGGTGGAGAGGTGGCAGTGGGAACGAAAGTCAATGTGACTGCCCATGCCATCATTTCCGGCAGCCATTGATTGCAGGGGGTGTGGGGGTTGGCAGGATCCAGGAATGGCTAAAAGCCATTTGCGCCTGGCTAAATTCAGTGTAATTGATAAGCGAACTCCGCCGGCAGATAGGCGGCAATGAGCGGAGTGTCCTGGCTGCTTACCACGCACACAAACACACAGCTACTCCACATATGTATATGTGTAGGCAAACATACTGGCACACAGACACACTCGCAAGAGACACTCAATTAAGAAAACAATGGCGGCTCAGTTTGTGCGGCAATTGAGTTTTTCTTTTTGCCATCTGCGCTGGTCCTCTTTGTTTTGCTTTCGGCTTTTCCTCTTACCCCGTTCCCAATTTGCCACTAAGACGCTTAGGCTTGCCACAAGCCCATCGCAAAATGCTCTCTGTACTGTCGTATTTGACTAGTATTGCGATATCTTTGCCTTTTAGCCAACTTTTCTTGGGTTTCTGGCCCCGTTCTACTCCTTTATTCCTATCGCACGCTCATTAGCCGCTGTCTTTGAGCCAATTTTGCTGTGACTTTTTGCCTCCAGCGCTGGCTGGCATTAGTTCCTTTGTTCGGATTCGTCGCTTGACTTAACTCACTTTGGGCTAATTTCCAGTTTTATTTGATCATCATTATAATTATTGTGTGCTTGTTTTTGACAGCATTACGGTCATAATGGCAGGGCAAATTCGTTCGTGCGCTCATAAGTAGGCAATGAATTTTGATGGTTACTTTTATCTCGCGCTTGCAATTTTCGCATATTCTTCCTCATTTTTTCTTAACGACTACATGACTTACATATTTATATTTTGTTTTTTTTCAACTCTTATACAAATAAATTTGCCCATATAAGCCTTGAATATGAAAACAATAGTGTTGTTTCTGTATATTACTTCCACATAAATGAATTTATGGCATGCAATCAACACTTTTTTAATTAAAACCCATAGAAACAAAATATCAGATTGTCCCACTTAAAGTGTTAAGTTATTAAGGTCTTTTCCCAACTGAGCCCCATTAACAACGCAGCACACACACACGATGCACAGAAAGTTTTTCAACGCCAGGAACAATAATTCATTTATTTCAGCCACACCAAATGTATAGTACATACATGAATATTCTGGCATTCCCAGTTGGGCTGGCAAACTATCTCTCGTTCTTTGCATTCAGTTTTTCAGTTTTTGAGGCATTGTAAGCGATTTAAAATCCAGTGCCACAAAATATGGCAACTGGCAACTGGCAGCTGGCACATGGGAGAGCTGTTGGGCCAAAAGCGACCTCCATGGCCAAAAATGTGCTCTCGCATATAAATGATTTTGATAACGCGCACTGACATTTTGTGACTTCATTATTCTAAAATTCAAATTATTCCGACCGAACAATGGGGACTCAGCAAATACAAACAGAAAAACACGAAAACTGGGTCAGACTGTGGCTGACAATAAGTTTTATTAGCTCCCCAGACGACTGCAAAAAAAATATAGGCGATACGAACTGCCATGTGTATCTCGTTGTAGCTACAGGCGTGTTACGCATACGCCACGTATGCAAATCGTGCAATTTTCACTATCTTCTCGGCTCTATCGTTTTGGCCTGTCAAATAAAGAAATTCGCCACTGACGAGGCGAAGCCGTTGTTGATAAAGGTTTTACCGGTGCCCAAGAAAAAAAAGCACCGAAATCCCAAAGACTGGATTAAATAATGCGCTTGGCACACGTCAAAAGCACTTTCCCGGTTCATCGAGCACACAGACGCAGACTCAAAAGGCCTGGGCATGATTTATGACTCGAAATTTATATCATTTCCATTCAGACAGACAATTGCCAAGACGCTAATAAAATTTATTTCCTGTATATAGCTTATGAAGGGCAATATGGCGCGAAAAACTTAATGAAAAATGGTTGCTCAGCAGTGCGAGTGGAAACGTGTTTTGGGCTCCATTTCCCTTGACCCTCTGGAAAATGCGCTGCTTTTCTTTTGGCCAAACAGCTGTGACCAACTAATAACCCGGGGGCGTGGCTAAACGTGCTGGCAAAAAAGTTTTTACATAATTTTCCTCCACTCATTTCTTGTGCGCCCTTTTCTGTGTGTGTCTGTCTGTGTGTGTCTGTCTGTGTGTGCTGTGTGTGTGTGTGTGTCACACAACAACATCCACTGAAATTTTTATATTTTATGAAGCTGATGCTCAGCTTACGGGGCAAAGCCAAAGCGGAAATCCTTAGTTTCCTTATGACAACGACATCCTCTGGCGCACGAACCAAAAAAGACAAAAAAAGAGTACTAATAAAAAAGATTGTCAGCGAAAAAAAGACAAAAAAAAAGTTGGAGAAAAAAGTTTCCCTGCCAGCGGAAAATTTTTTATTAGATTGCGTTGCAGTCACTTAAAGCGTCGGATCGCAAGCCCAACTCAACTCAACTTGCCCTTGGCAAATTGCCGGCTTCCGACGGGAGCGCTTCCACTTTTGGCCGGAAACGCTGGCATATTGGCCATCGATAGCAGGCCCTTGGCTTAATAATTGACATGGCTCTCGTTGGTTGTCCGAGTGCATTTCGCCAGCGCTTCGCCTTCGAAGGCAGCCATTTATATTAATCAACTGAAAAGTCTGATTGAAAATTTTCAACACCATCAATCAAGTTGCGGTGGCTGCATGGAGAAGTTGCCAACTTTTTGGCAAAACTAAACAATGTGCGGATATAGTGATTCATCCTCCCACGGGAAGTGAAAATCAAAGTATTTGGCAACTCAGTTTTCGACAAAAGTTATCAGTAAACACACAACATCAACTAAACACTGCCTGGCACAGAACTATGCAAAATCAATCTAGGCAAATGGTAGTTTAAAATACTCTTTCTAAAAGGTTTGCAAATGCAGCTACTGCACTTCAAAAAATGGTAATAAATGACACCTATCGATTTTTAAAATATTTTGTTAGATGTTTCCTTCCGAGAGGTTTGCAAATGCAACCATTGTGCTACATAAAATAGCACTAATGACACCTTTCGATTTCTTAAATATTTTGTTAGATGCTCTTTCTGTGAGATGCCTATTAAAGTTCAAATATGGCTATCTTCTTTTCACTACACTAAAAAAGAATTTAATCTTAATCGCATACCAGTTGAATTGCACACTTGCCAAGGATATGTGTGTTTGTAAACTTGCCGCAGAAGTTGTCCGACTTCTTGAAAGGGCAACCACGAAAATATGAAATTCCTTGTGAAAACTTTTATCAAAAACTTTGTCCCTTTTCGAGACATTCAGCTTGTTGGTCTAAGCCCGGTGTTTTCTGGTCCCTGGTCTCTTAACAATCTTCGTGTATTTTACCCAAGTGTATAATGCAATTTGGTTTGACTTCAGAACTGTGACAAGCTGCAAAATTTTCCAACATCGATATAAATTCCATCTTGATCAGCGACCAACGCCTATGTAAGTGGGCCATGTGGGTCATAAACGAAGCCATCGACATTGGCAGTCATCCTGTTATCCTGGGGGCCAGATGCTGGTCCTTTTGGATGGCAATTGTACGTAATAAAACGCATAAAATGGATCCCGGCAAATGGGAAAATTCTGTTGCAGTTTTTATGCGCCCATCTCCCAGCCGCATTGCAATTTGGGCCATTGTCTTGCCATCTGGGGCTAAGGGGTATGTGTTATGGGCTATGCGGTTCATTAGGCGTAATGGAGCTGCAAGTTTGCTTTTTATGGCGACTCGAGGCGTAAGTGTCATTAATATTAATCACAATCACACTGAAGCCGTTTAAGTTATTCAAAAAGTCATTCCGGCACAACTGCTTACTTTGGTAACTGCTCATTTTGCAGGGTCTTAGTTGGCTTGTA